TTCTAGATTAGCCTCTGACCCAGAACTAAGTCCAAACGAAACAGATACTCTACTCATGATTTAAATTAAGTTGTCTGGTTTAAAATAAAAAAAGTATAAGTTAATTTAGATATTATAAAACTAGGATTTATTTGCTACATTAAAAAGATACACATTGTCACAGTCTCAAAAGATTAACTTTGAAGACTTATACATTTTAAAACCTAAATATTTCAGTTCAGCTAATTGGCAATTTTGAGTGATTGATTTTTCATTTTCGAGCATGATTTTGATTGCAGATATGGAAATTCTTAATTCCTGCCCTCTCAAACATCACCCTTAGTCCATGAGATTGTAGCATTGGAGTTACATCCAATACTGAATCCACAACGAAACCCACTTAATTTGAAGTGCAGAATGCACCCCAAAAGGGAGGGGTCTCAAAGCTTGGGCAGTTTTTTGAAACTTTTCATGTCCCATTTTCCCCACAGCATTGCAAATTATCTACTTCCAAATATTTATCCAATTCCCTTTTGAAAGTTACTTTTGAATCTGCTGCCACTACCCTTTTTAAGGGCAGTATTTTCCAGATCATAAATCAATTTAAAAGAAATCCGATTCTTTTGCTAAATTCTCTCATCTTTGGTCACTGACTCATTTCCCAAATGGAAAAAAATTCTAATTTATTCATTCCATCCAGACCCAGTTTTGAGCACTTCTATTAAAATCTCTAACTCGCTGTGCTCTGTTTGTATCTACTCTGGATTTGTTGGTAGCACAATTGTTTTTCTGAATCAAAAAAGTTCCAGGTTCAGCTCCACTCCAGGATTTGAGCATAAAAAAATTAAAGGCTGACATGCCATTGTAGTACAGAACTAAGGGTACACTGCACTGTTGGAGATGCTGTCCTTTAGAAGAGGATTAAACTGAGGGTTCATCTTCCTGCTCTGGTAAATGTCAAAGATCCAATGCACTAACTCAAAGAGAAGAGATAGTGTTATTTTTGGGATTGTGGCCAGCAGTCATCCTCAATGAACATCAACAAAATAATTTGCAGTCAGCAAATCCTAACTGCTTTTTTTAAACATTACAACAGTTATTGCACTTCAGCTGTAAAGTGCTTTGTGATGTCTGGCGGTCATGTAAAGTGCTATACAAATGCAGGGCTTTTTTTTTTTAAAAAAAAAAGTGAATTCCCACCATCCTAGGTACAATTCTGACAAATCGCTTTCTCACCCTCTAAGGAGACCCAGAATTACATAATACTGTATCTAGCTGAGACTGAACTAGTGATTTAGATTTTGCATAATTTGCTTTCTTTTCACTCAGCACCAATAATAAAGTCAAGAATCTCCTTTTATTTACAAAAGCAGCCATGTCAATGCATGCCACCATTTTCAAAGATTCACATAAACAATAGCTTCTCTGCCTCTGAATCCCTATAAAATTACATCACCTAATGTGCTGAAGTTAAAATATATTAATTTTTGACTTTTGGCAATAACAGTGCAAAATATTTTTGCAATAAAAGGTCATTCTTTGAAAATACCCCCACTGAAGAGACTGAAACAGCGGAGGGGAAAAATAAATATATTTGGAAAGATGTATTTCTTATATTGAACATTCACTGACAGAACCATGATTCTATCTGTAAAGTGACTCCCAATTTGTTTCAAGGGCATATTTGCTCCCAATTCATGGAAGTCCCTGAAACATCTCCTACGCAAGCCTTATGGTGGAAAAAAATTATCAAATAGCAATCTAATTCAGATGCCTCCCTCTCCAACAGGGAATGCAATTAACTAAAGGCCTTGTTGAGATGCCAAGACAAGACAGCACTGGCCACGTTTGAAACCAATTTTTTTGTGCGTCACAGACCTCTGCATGCAACCAGCATTGTGAAACAAGCACCATCCAGGGGCTGATATTAATCAGTGCAATTTTGGGTCACAGATATTGCTGCCTGATTTTGGTTATTTTTTTCAGAAGTTCTGTAATAAAAATACAGGTTTTACTGCAGCTGCATCCATCCTGAATTGATAATCTCAAACATGCTGCAAAAGAGGTTCAGCATTTCAATTGCTCTAGAGGGACAGCAAAGCTTACGTGCTACATTTCCAGATCTAGGTTTAACAGTCAGCAAAACATATCTTTGAGCCAAGGAGGGAACTATCACGGCACTGATCACAAAAATGAAACTTCCAATTTTTTAAAATAGCCAAATGCTATTGATAAAAGAACTATACTTTTTTACTGACCCAAAAGTCTTGTTCAATATAATACTGAAGTCTTAATGCTATCATACCTCATAGCTTTTCATTTTAGAATTAGATTTCCTTTTAATATATAACTAATTTTTTTAACTTTTTATGTAGCTTATCGAGTCATTCACTGCACAAGTAGTTCATTTTAGCCGTTCCTGCTTTATGACATAGTTCTGCAAGATGAGCCCAGCGTTTTTTCCGGAAACAGTGTTGTGATTTAAAGTCACTGTAGAAGATGAAGTAGCTGGTTGTGATTCATGTGATACAGAGCTTGGAGTTGTGTAAATATAGTTGAATCCTGCATTGTCTAACATGTCTGACCAGGCCCGGTACTGAAATTCTGCAGCTCCCCAGTAGTTTCTGATACTTGATTCTGAACGGTGGCCAGTGAGTGCCATGATCTCCCGTGCTCCAAGGCCAGCATCACACAGGAGACGAACAGTTGTAGTTCTGAGAGAATGGTTGGTGTACCTCTGGGACAGCCTGGCAGCGATGCTGATTCTAGGCATCATGCTTCCAAGATAATTTACTCCCATTGGCTCCCTTTTATACCAGACAGATTGTTCTCTTAACTGTTCTGGTGTTAATTTTAGAGGGTGAAGGTAGAAAGCAGGAGGATCTGGTGGCAACTTGGATATATAAAGTTCAAGGGAAGTGACTGGGCAGTTTACATCTCCTGGCATATCATACATCCGGCCCAATTTCAAAGGGTCTTCTCGACTTCTACTTTTCCCCGTATACTTCAGCATTGCATAACGTCGTCCATTGGGATCACGCTTAACAACAAAAGCATCTGGAGGGAGGTCCCGAAGGATTTCCCGTCCACGCTTTGCAAAGTGTAACTGCAGGTCAAACCAGACTTTGTTCACAAGTGCAAGGGGTGTGTGAAGTCCCAGGACACCAGATGTTCTGATCTTTCGAAGGTCAGCTGCGTTGATAGGGGGATGGTGGTTTGTTTCATCCTTTCCTTGCTTTCTGAGTATCTTAAGCACACCCAGAAACACATTATTGGCACTACTGAACTCCTTATCCTGCATCAGGCAGATCTGCCGGCTGTGAGGAGGCATCTTAAGGTGCCTGTTTAAACCTGCCCGGATGGACTTGTAACTAGAAATGCTATAGGTGTTACCATCATGATTCCTCACAGTGCCATAAAATTCTCTCAAAATACTATTAAGTTCTTCCACTGGCATAATTTCAAAATTTTCAACTCTGCCTTTTTCAATAAGCCATTGTTTAAGGATATTCACTGCCCAATCTGTCTGCTTGCGGGTGTTCTTCTCATTGCGCTCCTCCTCAAGTCCAATAAGATCCTCCTCAGTCACAGTAACATGCCGCCTGGCTCCATCTAAAAGTTCGTTGTTGGCAATTTGTTCCGCTGTCATTTGGTCCTCAAAACTTAGCAATGTGTTGCCATCGAAAATGCCATAGGTGTAGAGTGGGGAGTGAGACACAGTTTTTTCGGACAGCTGTGAATTGCGGAGTAATATGTAATGTTTTGATATAATTCTTTACATTTTAAAAAATAAACAAAATAACCCAGCAGGTGGCGTTCGTTATTAATGTTTCTGCTGAGGTGTGCCAACATTCAATAGTGCACACCTTATTAACCAATCGCTTTCACACATTACAAACCATGGCATTACACTTTATAACAATGGACTGTAGAAAGACACAAGTTTGCTTTCAGCTTTAAAAAAGCAATTCTAATTTTTTTTTAGCTGCTAGACTTTTCAACTATGGAGATATCTGATGAGAGAAAAACCAAACAGGGAAGACACATTGATTTCATGTATGTATTCTCTAGAGGAACTGGAAAAACTTTAGTGCTGTAATGAAGAGAATCTGTATTAGAAACTGGAAAAGGCTTACAAGTTCTGGAAACGAACCTTGACCGACTGAACAACTTCCATTTCTGCGCAGTGAAGCGCTGAACGATGAGTTACCCGGATGCGAAATTTAGGGCTGTTGGAAGAGTGAAGCATTGTTGCATCCCATCAAAAAGTTCCACTCAGGTGAAGGTTTCTGAAAACCTTTGATGGTATCTCTTTTTGAAGACTGAATCCAGCCACATTATGCTGTGCTAATGAGTGAGCAGTGTTTTATTTAGAAAATCTTTCCAGTTTATTTAGAGAATGCACAAAAAGAAATAATCACTTTCCCCTGTCTCCACCCAAGCGTGCATTTCTTGTCTTAAACAAGATCCCTCATTGCTTTACACCACTCTCTGGTCAGGGCAAAGATGTGGACATACAACATAATAGACACACATGTTTTTCCTCCCAGTACATTTCTTTGGGCACTTGTGGAAGGTCTTGTCACTTTTGTTGCCTCAAATTCTATATGGAGGCATTCCTAATTTTAATGCTAGAAACTAGCCCCTAAAATATATACTTTAAGTAAAATTAAAAATTTGGCTTTTAATTCTTTCTGCCAAGCTTCTTTGTAGTTTTATTAAAAAGGCAGATTTGCTCATGAAAACATTAAATTTTCCACTGAATTTGAATTTTAACTTCCTGACAAACAACAATATTCTGTAGAGGTTGAATGGTCAAGTGTAACAAGATAATCTAAGACTATTAAAAAAAGGAACAATGTGATGATCAGGTAAATTATTCTCCCGCACAAACAATACCCACATTCTACCCAAAGGGATACTTTACTATTTCACCATCTGTATCTGGCCAGCAGAGACAAGAAAGATTGCAGTGGGCTATAACTGGTGATATGATGTATATTGATATGTGTTGTACCCACCTGGTTGCTATTAGGCGGTGCTTTCTTAGCAGCTGGTGACTCTGCTGGAGCTGCGATGGGATGTCTCTGGGTGGTGGCCTGGCTGAGGCTGCTCTCTGTTAATGGAATACAAGCAATTCATTTAACATTCTAGTCTGACAAAGAAAAGCTCAGCTTCAAAGCTTCCTCTCAGCAGATATTTGATCCCAATGTCCACTGTAGCAATTATATGGAATTAATCTCTAGTACACTCTGCTCTAATTTTAAATCTGTCCACCAGCTACAATAGCTACTTAAAGGTTTAGAATGACCCCTGCAACCTTGAATACTCAGGTTACATCCAAAACAGAAGATATGGGTGTGCATCACAAGTTAGTAACACTTAGAGATTGACATCTTATACATCACTAAACTATTAAGAATACAATAAAAGCAGAGTTGCTGCTGACTTCACATTCTCAAGTTCTCACATTCAATGAAAGTGCATTGAAATTTCTAAAAACTTTATAGCTGTAGAGTTTCTACTGTGATTTATACTTGCAGACATGTGTACAGTGCATGTTATTAAATATGGAATTCATTCAAGAAATGAAGAAAAATGATTAAGCCATAAACTAGTTAAACACCGGTTGCATTCTCAATTATGTAATTCCACATGTATTTGTTTGAGACAACAATAGGCAGGGTAACATTAGAACACAAGAGCAGAAACAGTCCACTTGAGCCCTCAAGCTTGCCCTGCCATTCAATAAGAAAATGACTGATCTGCCCCAGGCTGCAACTCCTTTATTGTGCCAGCACATCATAACCAAAGGAGGAGTTGAGGGTTATCAAGTGTTATTTCAGTCTGAGAATTGTAAAATGGGAAGTGGGTTTTAATATCAAGCTCAATTTCAGCTTTCAACTTACCATACTCCTTATACACTCACAACTGAGAGACTAAATTCGGCTCTAACTCCATTTACAAATTTGCTGATGACATCACCGTAGTGGGTCAGATCTCAGACAATGACGAGGCAGAGTACAGTAAGGAGATAGACAGCTTAGTGGCATGATGCAAACACAGTCTCTCCCTCAATGTCATCAAAATGAAGGGAGCTGATTATCAACTTCAGGAAGTGGAGTGGAACAAGACCCCATTTATGTCAGTGGTGCTGTGGTGGAGGTGGTCAAGAGCTTGAAGTTCCTAGGAGTAAATATCACCAACAATCTATCCTGGTCCTTGCACATTGACACTACCGTCAAGAAAGCATACCAATACCTCTATTTCCTCAGAGGACTAAAAGAATTCCGGCATGTCCTCAATGACTTTTACCAAGTTTCACAGATCAACCTAGAAATTATCCCATGCAGATGCATCACAGTTTGAAAGCAGGTACCAAAAGATTCAATAACAGCTTCTTCCCTGCTGTTATCAGGCTTATGAACAGACCTCTCATATTAGAGTTGATCTTTCTCTACACCTTTGTAGCTGTAACACTTTATTCGACATTCTGTTCTATTACCCTGAGGTACTTATGTAAGGTAGGATTTGTCTCGTTTGCTGTATCTCCATACATGTGACAATAATAAACCAAATTAAATCAAATATCTGAACTGTTGTCCATCAAAGTCAGTATTTATGCATGAATTACAATAATTATTCATTTCTATCTAGCATAAAAACAGGAAGTGGCTCAACTATTAGCTTACAAAAGCAGAGATAGCATTAGATCCAAACAGAGAATATATATCAACCAGAAAAAGCAGCAAGCCTGAGATATGGGAACGGTTTAGGATTCAGCAAGAGGAAAAATGATTGAGCAAGAGGGGAAAGTAGGATATAACAGTAAATTTGCCCAGAATATAAAACAAAACTGATATAAAAGCTTCTATTAACGTGCACTGGACAGACCACCAGCTTATCTGCTCCTCTATATCCATCAAATGCCACCAGAAGCAACTGAAGATGAAGAAAGTTCAGAAAAAAGTTCAATGTTGAGTAGCTTCAAGGGTCAAGCAGACTAGCCATTTCCAACATAAATCACCAAAATCTCCAAAAGAACTCATTTTAATGGAGCAGAGGATATCTGGAAAGAGCTGAAGGCAGCCATCATCTCACTCCATTAAGAAACCATCAGCTACAAAACCAGAAAACATCAAAGACTGGTTTGAAAAGAATGACCACGAGTTTGGGTTCTATCCTCACGATTGAGGATACTGATAACTGCCCAGAAAGGGTAAGGAACCAAGGGTCCAGTGAGAGGGTGGAATTGAAGAAAATTAGTATTAGTAAAAATAAAAAAAGGTTCTAGAGAAATTAAACAGGGTTAAAAGGCTGACAAGTCACCAGAGCCTGATAATCTAAATCTCAGAGCACTGAAGGTAACTCCTAAAATAGTGGATGTAATGGTAGTCACATTGCAAAATTCTAGAGATTTCGGAGCAGTTCCTACAGATTGGAGGATGGCTAGTGTAATCTCAGTATTTAAATACAGGAGGAAGAGAAGAAACAGATCAGGTAGTCTAACTCAGTAGGGGAGGTGGAAACACTAGAATCTATTATAAAAAATGACCACACCTGGAGTATTCTGCATAGTTCTGGTCTCCCTTCCATAAGAGAATATACTTGCTATAAAGAGTGTGAAGCACAGGCTCACCAGGACTATTGAATAAGGAGAGATAGGTTTGACTCGGCCTGCACTCACGAGTTTAGAATGAGAGAGGATATCATTGAAATTCAATAGGGTAAGACACTAAATGCAGTGGAGGTTACTTCCCCTGGTTGGGGGGAGTCTAGAACCTGTGGTCACAATCCAAACATGGGGTAGACAACTTAGGACGGAGATGAGGGAAAAAAAATAATCTTCCGAGGGTGGTCAACCTGTGGAATTCACCACTACAGATGGCTGAGAGGCTAGATCATTGAGTGCAATCAAAGAAGAGATTTTTTTTAAGAGCTATTAAAGGCATCAAGCTGTATGAAGAGAAAGTAGGAATAAGGAGTCGAGATAAAGGATTAACCATTTAAATACTGAATGGCCTGTTCCTGTGTTTTTACGCTTACTGCCCATTCCTAATTATCCTCAAGATGATGATGATGATCCATACCCTTGAAACACCCTAGTTCATGTAGTCTATGTACACTAAATATTAAGTTGGAGTTACATAATTTTGACCTGAAGAGCAAGTGCTATAGTGCCACTTCATTTTTTGATACACTCACGGGACATGAGTGTCGCTGGCTGGCCAGCATTAATTGCCCATCCCTAGCTGCCTTTGAGAAGGAGGTGGTGAGCTGCCTTCTTGAACTGCTGCAATCCAAGTGCTGTAGACAGAACCACAAATGTCCTTAGGGAGGGAATTACAGGATTTTGACCCAGTGACACTGAAGGAATGGAAATGTATTTCCCGTCAGGATGGAAAGTGCTTGGGAGGAGAACTTGCAGGTGGTGGTGTTCCCGGTATCTGTTGCTTTTGACCCTCTAGGTGGAAGTGGTTGTGGGTTTGTAAGGTGATGTCTAAGGAGCCTTGATGAATTTCTGTAGTGCATCTCTTGGATAGTACACATTCTACTAAGCATCCGTGGTAAAGGAGTGGATGCTTGTGGATGTGGTGCCAGTCAAGCAGGCTGCTTTGTTCTGGATATGGTGTTGAGCTTTGAGTATTGTTGGAACTACACCTATCCAAGCAAAAGGGGAGTATTCCAACACGTTCCTGATGCACTTGTGCCTTGTAAATTGTGGATAGGCTACGGGGAGTCAGATGAGTTGCTTTCCACAATATTCCTAGCGTCTGACCTGCTCTTGTTGCCAGTGTATTATATGGCATGACCAGGTGAGTTTCTGGTCCAGGGTAATCCCAAAGATGTTGATAGTGAAAGATTCAGTGATGGTCACACTATTGACTGTCAAGGAGCACACTGTCTCTTATTGGAAATGGTCATTACCTGGCATCTGTGTGGTACAAATGCTACTTACCACTTGTCAGTCAAGCCTGGATATTGTCCAGATCTTCTTGTATTTAAACATGGACTGCTTCAGTACATGAGGAGTCACAAATGGTGCTAAAACTGTAATTGATGAACATTCCTACTACTTATGATGGAGGGAGGGCCACTGATTAAACAGCTCAAGATCATTGAGCCTTGGACACTACTCCGAGAAACTCCCGCAGAGATGTCCTGGAGCCGAGATGACTAACAACCACAACCAATCTTCCTACGTGCCAAGTATGATTCCAACTGGCAGTATTTTTGTCCCCAAGATACCCACTGATTTCAGTTTTGCAAGGGCTCCTTGATGCCACACTTGGTCAAACGCGGCCTTGACGTCAAGGACTGTCACTCTCAACTCAGCACTGGAATTCAGCTCTTTTATCCATGTTTAAACCAAGGCTGTAATGAGGTTGGGTGCTGAGAGAACATGGTGGAACCCAAACCAGGCATTGCGGAGCAGGTATTGCTTGATAACATGTCGGCAACAACTTCCATCACTTTATTGATGACCGAGAGTAGACTGAGGACGCAGTAACTGACCCGGTTGGATGTGTCCTGCTTGTGTATAGGACATAACTCGGCGTTTTTTGATATTGTCGGGGAGATGCCCGTGTGGTTGTACTATACTGGAATAGCTGGGCTAGGAGAGCAGGAAGTTCTGGAGCATAGGTTTTCAGTACTATTGCTGGAATGTTGTCAGGGTCCACAGCCATTGCAATATCCAATGCCTCCAACTTTTTTCTTGATATCATGTGGAGCGAATAGAATTGGCTGAAGACTGGCATCTGTAATGCTGGGGGCCATTGGAGGTCAAGATGGATCATCCATTCAGCACGTCTGGCTGAAGATTGCTGCGAATGCTTCAGTCTTATGGTTTGCACTGATGTGTTGGGCATTTTTATCATTGAGGATGGAGATATTTGTGGACCCTCCTCCTCCAGTGAGTTGTTTAATTGTCCACCATCATTCAGGACTGGACATAGTACAGCTTAGATCTGATCTGTTCATTATGGGTTTGCTTAGATCTGCTGTTTATGCTGTTTGGCATGCAAGTAGTCCTGATTAGTAGCTTCACTAGGTTGACGCCTCATTTTTAGGTATGTCTGGTGCTGCTCAGGGCATGCTCACCCATACTCTACACTGAACTAGGGTTTATCCCCTGACTTTATGTTAATGGTTGAGGGGGATATGTTGGACCAGGAGGTTGCAGATTGTGCTGGAGTACAATTCTACTGTTGGTGATGGCCACAGCGACTCATGGATGCTGAGTCTTGAGTTGCTGGATCTATTTCAAATCTATCCCGTTCAGCACAATGATAGCGCCACACAACACGATGGAGACTTTACTCAATGAGAAGATGGGACTTCGTCTCCACAAGGACTATGCAGTGATCGATCTTACCGATACAGTCATGGATAGGTGCACCCGCAGCCAGTGGATTGGTAAGGATGAGGTCAAGTATGCTCTGCCCTCTTGTTGGTTCTCTCACCACCTGCCACAGACCCAGTTTAGCACCTATGCTCTTCAGGACTTGACCTGCTCGATCAGTAGTGCTGCTGCTGAGCCACTCTTGGTGATGGACATTGAAATACACCACCCGGAGTACATTTGCACTGTTGGCACCCTCAGTGCTTCCTCCAAGTGTTGTTTAAAATGGAGATGTACTGATTCATCAGCAGAGGGAGGACAGTACATGTTAATCAGCAGGAGGTTTCATTTCTTTGTTGAGGCTTCATAGTGACTGAAATAACTGAATGGCTTGCTAGGCCATTTCACAGGGCAGCTCTGAGAGTCAACCACATGGCTGTGGGTCTGGAGTCACATGTAGACCAGACCAGACATGGATAACAGATTTCCCTCCCTGTAGGGCATAGACAGACAGATGGATTTTTCCAACTTTTGACAATGGTTTCATGGTCATCAGTAGATTCTTAATTCCAGAGTTTTTAAAATTGAACTCAAATTCCACGTGGCAGGGTTCAAACCTGCGTTGCTAGAACATTAGCGGAGTTCCTGGATTAATAGTATAGCAATAATACCACTAGGTCATTGCCTCCTATAAGTTACTCCTATCTGTTCTAAAAACAGAATAATCCACTTTCTCTAGTTTCCTCACATTGGAGTCTCTGAAGTAGCTGGACAAGGTTTTTGTTTGAGATACAATGCATTTCAGAAATATGGGCAATGGAGGGGGCCATCTGGTGCTTAAACTGTTCATACAGCTGTCACATCTTCCTGCTCATCCCTCATATTCATTAATACTTCGGGTCACATTCAATTCCGGAGAATCCTGATCAACTAGACTTCAGTCCCCACTGCAATAAATATTTCACTTTTTAAAATTACCCACAACTTTTTCAGCATGTGCTAAAGAAGCTGACAAATACGTATTTAAATACCTCCTCCTGAACTTTGCCCCAAACATGGTGCGAGGGACCATAAAAGCAGTTAGTGTAACATTTGTTTTACATAAAAATATCGCAAATGAGCTCCCACTTTCTGGAACAGAAACCTACCAGAAAACAACTGTATGGGTCTTAGCTAAATCATGACGCACTTTTTTAAAATATATAAGACTTAACTGCTTGATCCATGTAAGGATTTCTGTTACACTGTCATTGAAGATACTTTACAGCAAAAGGGCTTATTTTCCATCTGAGATTAAATAGTTATAAGCCATATTTACCTACCAAACCTGTTATCAATACTCTAAAATGCAACAGACTAAATATGGTACTATGGACACCAGCATTAAGATTTCAAAAGTATTTATATTTCACTTCTTTTTTTAAATGGCATTCTGATTCATTGCAGCCCATTAATACCTTGAATTCAGACATGGCTGCACTTTGGTGCAGATGTATTGCGTTTTTATTCTAAAGTGAAACTGTGGCCCTCAATTCACCTCTGGGTTCACGACCTTTCATAAATCAAATTCAATGCCCCACAACCAGCATGTACAGATTTTGATGAAGAAAGGTAGCCAGCAATAACACTAACATGTTTAATCTCTGGATTATGTGCAAAATTAATCACAAACCTAGCTAAACAAACAATTCAGTTTGAATGCACACGGTTGCACATAATAAATAGTTCACTCACCTGATCTGGACGTTCCTGCACTGGTGCAGTCTGAAGTGACGGTTAATGACTGATTTGATGATCCAGAGACTTGGCCCTGGCTGTAAGTCTGCGAAGGCCTTGGCTGTATTGATGGCCTAGTATGAGGAGGGCTAAAATGTCCTGGGGTACCCAAAGATGGTTGTGCTGTCCGGGAAATCTGAGGTGAAAGAGTAGACTGAGTACTAGTCACAGTAGTCGTCTGACTGGAAGCAGCATTACTTATCTGTACTGAGCCCATACTTCCAGGGGACTTCCTTTGGACTCCAGGGCTTGGCAACGAAGGACCAGCACCAGTTGCTTTTGCTACATTTGCCGATGCCTGCGATGCGAGTGGTTTGGAGAGGTTGTTAAGCATGGGTTGGGACTGAACAGGCAAGAACTCAATTCCAGGTTGCTGGTTCGTCATCAAACTACTTGCTGAAGCCTGAAGAATTTGAGGCTGGGAAGACATTGCCACCGGAACTGTAAGCAATACTGGCACTGATTGAAGAGATACTGGCATAGGCTGGTTACTGCCAGAGGTTGGCAGTGACTGATTGTTTCCCACTACTGCTGCAGTTGCTGGCAGCACAGGAGTGACCACAGCACCAGATGTCCCTGCACTCTGAGGTTTAGTCTGTCCGCCAACTACCTGAGGTGGTGTGAAGTTAGTAATACCTGCAACAGCAAAACATCCTCCAATCAGAATTTGCAGACAAATCTTATTTTTTGCACTCCACCATCTACCCCAAGCTTCAATTTGGAACCCAATCATGCTTTCATAATGGATGGTAGTCAAAAAGGTCAGGCAAGTCTCACACAGCTGTGACTGCCTTCAATATTAACGTTAAAGAGTTTAATAGAACAGAGTCAGTTTAGCTCTGTAGCTCAACCTGCTATATAAAAGAGCATACAGGATATAAATCTATTGATGCAGCAATGCACTGAGGCTCTACTAGGCATCAGGAGATTTTTCCACCAGATGCGAAAAAAATGAGGTAAGCTATGTCACTATTCCACATCAGTTGGAAATGGAATCATTGGAACTGGCAAACTAAAGTTTTAAATGTTGATAGATCTAACAGATATAGATAATTGCCTGACAATACATTAGATTATGTTTTGGTAAACATGCAGGCAACAGCAGCTTAATCTCCCACTTGGATGACTGCCTAAAGAAAAAAATGAAATGAATAGGCTGTTAATGGGAATTTAATTGCACTTATATAGTCCTCAATTAAACAAAAATTGGCAGTTTGGGGATTTACAGCAATAGTCTTGAGGCTTTCAGTTATTCACTCCTTTTCTCAGAGTGGCACATCTACAAATATTCAAGCCCTTGCTCAAATGGAAGAGATTAAAATTAGTAAAAGTTTAATTAGTAAAGCCCAAAGTTCCAGTTGGTAGACTAATTAGTAAAGGTAGGTCACATGGGATTCAGGGTGAGCTTGCCAATTGGATCTAAAAGTGGTTTAACGGTAGGAGACAGAGGGTGGTGGTGGAGGGGGGTTGTTTTTCGGACTGGAGTAGTGTTCCAAGGGATTGGTACTGGGTCCACTTTTGTTTGTCATTATTTATAAATGATTTGGACGAGAATAGGTATGGTTAGCAAATTCGCATATTACACCAAAATTGGTAGTACAGTGGAAAATGAAGAAAGTTATTTAAGTTTACAAAGCGATTGTGATCAATTGGGTCAATGGGCTGAGGAGCAGCAGATGGAGTTTAAATTGGATAAATGCAAGGCGCTGCAGTTTGGTAAAAGAAACAAGAACAGGACTTGTACAAGTAATGGTAGGGCCCTGGGTAGTGTTGTAGAATAGAGAACCTAAGGTTCAGGTATGTAATTCTTTGAAATTTGCGTCACATGTAGACAGGGTAGTTAAGGCAGTATTTAACATGCTTGCCTTCACTGCTTAGACTTCTGCATGTGGGAGCTGGAACATTATGTTGAGGGTGTACAGGACTTTGGCGAGGCCTCTTCTGGACTACTGTGTACAGTTCTGGTCACCCTGCGTCCAGAAGAATATTAAATTGGACAGGGTTCAGAAAGGTATACCAGGATGTTGCCGGGAAGAATGGGTTTGATTATAAAAATAGCTAGATAGGCTAGGATTTTTTTCAATGGAGCGTAGGAGGTTGAGGAGTGACCTCAGGGGTTTATAAAATCATGAAGGGCGTACATATGGTGAATTGCAAAGGTCTTTTCCCTAGGGTGAGGGAGTTTAAAGCTAGGGGGCATATTTTTAAAGTGAGAGGAGAAAGTTTAAAGGACAGGTGAGACAACTTTTTTTTTTTAAAATGAAAAAACACTGGTGTGTGTGTGGGGAACGAGCTGCCAGAGGAAGTGGTAGATGCAGGCACAGTTACAACATTTAAAAGACATTTGGATAAGTAAATGAAAAGGAAAGTTTTGGAAGGATGTAGGCCAAACACAGGCAAGTCGGACTAGTTTAGTTTGGGATCATGGTCGACGTGGACGAGTTGGAGTGAAGGGTCTGTTTCAATGTCGTAAGACTCTATGAAATCATGTTGAGCAAGTTGGAAAGCAAATAGCTACAGGAATCAAGCAGCTGGTACAAAGATAACGTGATGATGCAAAATGTGAAGCTCCTCTAGAAACAATATTTATTAAAAATATTCCCTCCAATTATGCAATATGGAATTTAATCCCCATGAGCTGGATATTTCAAAAAGCCACATGTATTGTGCTCACTTAGCAGTTTGAGCTGTGGCAACAATATTTTCATTAAATGAAGAGCTTGACTTAATACAGTTAAAAATGCTGTTGAAACTCATTAATTGAATCAGATAGATTTTTTAATACATACCTGTACTACTTGAGTTTGCAGATTGTTGTCCTGATGCTACACTATCTGCCATATTTCTTCGCAAGTCCAGCATCTGCCTTACTGTTCCACTGAAACAGAAATTGGATACAGAAATCTCACAACAACCTACCAATATCAGGCAACTAAGATTTCCCAAAGATGTTATATCCTCCTTTTTTGTTGATTGCTGATTATCTCAAAGTTTCTCTCATAAGAAATAAAGCTTGGATGATTGCTTGGAGCAGAACAAAAAAAAAAAACCCATTTTCCTAAATAACCAGAAATTGAAACCACTACGGAGCAGAGATGATTTATAGTTAAGTGGGGGGCTGGAAGGGAGAACTCAGAGATTCCTAACAGATTTCGGTTATTGAATTAGTCAGCAACAAGGAGCCACAAATTGAAAATCAGTGCTAGAAGCATAAAAAGGGAGACTGAATGGAAGGTTCAGCCAATTAGCGACTAAAGTTGAGTGCATATTGAAGGCAAATAAAGTATTTAAAAGGAAGCTTTAAACAATGTGGGTGAAACGCAGAAAAATGGTAGTAGAGACAGATAAAGCTGGCACCAGGGTATGAAACGAGTTTAGAATATATTTTTATTAATTGGGAACTTGGCTATAAAGTGGAAGCAAATGGTTTTTTTGGTTCTCAGTTCTGTGGAGCTAATTCCTGACTGCCAAAAGTCTTCAAGCAGGCATTCAATCAGCATTTCCAAGAAACCATGGGACTTAAATGACTAGATAGGCTACCTAGTGAAATAAATGGTGTGTTTACTAAATTGAGCTTTCAAAACCCAGAGTGCAGGACCAGATACCAGAAGTTCGGAAGAAAAAGGCTCATACCAGTTGCGCAGATTAGCAGCTTCAAAAGTTGCCAGAACCAGAAAAATCAGGAAATTAACTTTTCCATGTGCCTCAGGGAGACTTGGAGAATGACATCTGGGGATTGTGCAGAAAGTTGTCTCAAGGGAAACTTGTGACCTCTTCAGTTATAATAAAAAAAGAAGATAATTATACTTCACTCGGGCTGATATTTGCCAAGGATATTTCCTGGGTGGGGGGGTGGAATCTTACATTTTGCTGTTAAAAGGAGACTTTTAAGTATCTAATATACAGGTTATTTTTCCATTTTCTGGTATAACAAACTCTCGTTCTTTTGTTTCAAACACAGTGAACAGTTTTCCACAAGGCTACCAGTGGCTGCCCACCAGAGTAACAAACAGAACAACAGGAGCAGGCCATCCAGCCCTTCAAGCCTGCTCCATCTTTCAATGATTATGGTTGATCATCCAACTCCACAGCCTTTTCCACTTTTACCCCCACATCCTTTGAGCCATTTAGTCTTAAAAATTATACCTACCGCCTTCTTGAAATCAATGTTTTGGCCTCAAACACTTTGCAGCTGAGAAATTTACATGTTCACTGCTCTTGCGGGTTCCCCGTTTTCTCTCAAAATAACTTTAATTTAGCCAAATTGCAAAAAGAAAAAAAAAAAAAAAAATCATGGTCTATCAAGTCAGAGTCACTCAATCATCACTATCAACTGGGATCATAATTAGGGCAACTGGTAAAATAATCTCTGTGTACCTAAATTTCCTTATTCTTACAAAGTAAACTGGAGATTCATGCAGTAATTATAAAATGAATTTATAATGTTAATATGGCTTAAAGTCAGTCCATTTGATCAATGACTTTAACAGAATGCAAGACTTGATGAAGAACAGTCTCCCATTTCAAAAGGGAAATTTGAGAACATTTGCTTATCTGTTTGATGCATTCTTAATTACCATGGAAGGGCATTAGCTGAAAGATGGTAGTAGAAATATAGTTTCTTTTCAAAATAGAAGGTATGCATTATTACAGCTTCCCAGTGTAGAGATAGTGGTATGATGTTCATATCATTGGATTGCCAATCCAGAGACCCAGGTTAATGTTCTGAGGATGAGTTCAGTTGGCATTGTGGCAGCTGGTGTAATTTAAAATTCCATCAATAAAATTTGGAATTAAAAGGCTCAGTTATGACAACCATGAAACCATCACTGGCGACCCAGATGGATTTGCACAATTAACCAAGTTCTTAATGAAATAAATCTATTCTTATCTGGTCTAACCTACATGTGACTCCAGACACAGTAATGTCAATGACTCTTAAAACACCCTCTGAAATTAAGTTCAAGGGCAATCGGCAATGGGTATCAGCTAAGTCCACATTCCATAAAATAAATCAAAAAACCTTCGGTGTACAAATTGAAAATAAAATTTCCCTGAAATGCTGAGTAAGTATATATGATGCAAATGTGAGACAGGAGCAGAAGTAAGCCATGTGGCACTCAAGGCTGCTCCACGTTTCAATAAAATCATGGTTAATTGGTCTGTGGTTCAAGTTCCACATTCTTATTCTTCCACATACGATAACCCTCGATTTCCCTACCTAGCAAACATCTAACCATCTCAGTCTTAAAAATACTCAATGACCTGACTGCTGTGACCTTCTCAGGCAGATAGGAAAATAAAAGTTACTCAACTCTCTTCTGAAAGTGTGACCCCCAAATATTAAAAACAATGTTCCTTAGTTCTGGACTGACCCACTCTGTCAAGACCATTCAGGATATTCTGCACTTGAATCAAATCACCCCTCACTCTTCTGAACCTCACCCTATCTTGCCAAGACAAATCCACTCGTTCCAGGTAACAATCCAGTAAACCTCCTTTGAACTGCCTCAATGTATTTACATCCCTCCAGATATAAACAGATCAAAACAGCAGTCTTCAAAATAGTCTCACCAATGCAATATATAGCTGAAGCACAATATCCTTATTTTTATATGTTCAATTCCTCTCATAATAAAGAGGATAATCTATTAGCATGTGCTTTAACTGAATATTAACTTCATGACTCATGCAGCAGAACACCCGATTTCCTCTGCACCTCCAAATTATGATGTTTTTCTCCATTTAAGTAATACTGTTTTAATCTTCCTGTCAAAGTAAACATCTTCACATTTCCCCACATTATACACTATGTGCCAGACGTTTTCCTCAGTCAATCTATACCTGCTTACAACATCCTTATGCCTTTTTCACAGCATACCTTCCTACCTATCTAGGTGTTGTCTGTGAATTTAGCCATCATGCCTTCATTGCCCTCATCTAAGTTATTGAACAAACTATAAAAAGCGGAGGCTCCAGCAGAGACACTTGTGGGATTCCACTCACTAAATCCTGGAATCTGATAAAAATACATTTAGGCTTTCTTTCACTGCCAGCCAATCACCCATCTATGCCAATATGGTTACCCATCACACCATGTGCTTATTTTTTGCAATAATCTTTGTGGCACCTTATTAAATGTCTTCTGGAAATTCCAAGTACAATTCATCTACAGGCTCTTTATCCATAGCATATTACTCCTTCAGAGAACTTCAATAATTTGGTTAAACATGGTCTTTTGATGAGACCACAACATCTCTTCCAAGTTTTACTGAATTTTTCTAAAATGAGCAAATATAAATTTCACTAATAACCACAACACCCCCAACCCACCCACCCCAAGAGGCTGAAGTTCAACATTTAATATTGTTGTTTCAATTTGTTTAAATGTTAGCGGAGAAGTTAAAATTCCATTCTGGAATTGTGGATTCTCAACCAAAATTTCAAATAAAGATTTTACAAAATACTGCAGCTTTAAAGCATCATATAAAGCAAACTTCTAAAAATTTATCTGGGATGTGTACTTTGCTGGCTAGATCGAGTATTTACTGCCCTTGAAAAGAAGAGGTTGGCTGCCATCTTGAACTGCTGCAGTCCATTTGGTGTAGGCACACCCACAGTGCTGTTAGGAATGGAGTTCTTGAATTCAGACCCAGTAATACTGAAGGAATGGCAATAGATTTATAAGTCTGGATGATGTGCGACTTGGAGGGGTACCTGCAGATGGTGGTGTTCCCACATATCTTTGTCCTTCTACATGGTAGTGGTAGTAGTTTGGAAGATGCTGTCTAAGGAACCTTGGGGAACTTCTGCAGTTCATTTTGTAGATGGTGCATACAGCTGCTACTGAGTGTGAGTGGAGGAGGGATTGAATGTTTGATGGGTGATGCTTCTTGTTGTAGGTGCCACACTCATCCAGAAGAATGGGTACGAGGTGGTGAGTTGCTAACTACAGGATTCCTAGCCTCTGACCTGATCTTCTAGCTGCAATATTTATACAGCTAGTCCAGTTCAGGTTTGGAGAGATATGGGCCAGAAGCAGGCAGGTTGGACTAGTTTAGTTTGGGATTGTGATTGGCATGGACTGGTTGGACCAAAGGGTCTGTTTCCATATTGTATGACTGTGACTATGCCATGGGGCACATGGGATTAGATTATCTCTTGTTAGAGATGGCCATCACCTGAGACTTCTGTGGCATGAATTTTATTTACCACTGGTCAGTCTAAATCTGGATATTGTCCAGGTCTTGTCGCATTTGGACACTGGTTGCTGCTTTATACCCAAGGAGTTCAAATGGTGCTAAATACTGCTGACTGCACAAACATTTCAGATCTTGTGATGGAGCAGCTGAAGATAGTCAGGCCTAGGATACTATCCTAAGGAACTCCTGTTGAGATGTCCTGGATCCGAGATAACTGACATTGAACAAACAAAACCATCTTCCATTGTGCTAGGTATGACTCCAAATCAGCAGAAATATCTTCCCCTGATTTCCATTGCTAGGAGCCCTTGATTTCACTCCTAGCCAACTGTTAAGGGCAGTCAATGTCACCTCACCTCTGGTGTACAGTTATTTTGTCCATGTTTGAACCAAGGCTCTACTGAGGCCAGGAGATGAATGGTCCTAGTGAGATGCTAGTGAGCAGGTTTTTGCAAAACAAGTCATGCTGATAACACTGTTAATGACTCTTTCCATCATTTTATAGATGATCAAGAATAGTCTGATGGTGGTGGTGATGGGCTGATTTGATGCTCCATTGTATTGAAATACCTTACTGAGCACTCTACTTATAGGAGATGAGCATCAAGTCTATAAAATTCAACAGGTTACCTCAAAAGGGAGCTCACTGCTCGTTCCCATGCTGTTTCACTATCTAACATAGGTGCATATTTGTGCCAAGACTTCTATCGCCATTACACTTTAGCTGGGCAATAATTAAGAGTCTGGCCTTTGATTTTTATATTCTCCTCAATCTCTTGACGCAGAGCTTTTTATCATGCTCCAATCTCTTAAATTTAGAGAGAATGGTTTTGTTGCACCTTTCCTTACTTTTTTTCCAAGGTTCAAAACACACTCAAGCCTACTGACAACCAATCCATCAATATCTACTGAAACAAGGCTTCGTGAGGGGTTAATATAGGGATTTGTATCATGGCAGGCTGCCCTGTGCATTCAAATTTACACTTTCAACAGTGGCACAATTACTGCAGCTGGTGAAAATATTCTACTGCACCTACACGAATCAATCAACGTTCTTACAGTTACTAACATTTTGTACTGCTGATCTTGGAGTGAATCGCTTTCCAATTTACACTTTCCGAAGTTCCTTTCCTTAGTGTAGTTTGTGCAGTTGTCAGGTATTCGAAAGTTTTTCTATTTTAAGTGGTACCCAAGACCTGTACCAAATTGAAATGTGCAGAGAAGCAATGAAAGCAAGGGCAGGCAGAACTCTGGTTCAAACACATTCCTCTCCTCACAGCCACACTTGTTCCCTCTGTGTAAAGAACTGCAGCTATAGGTTTAGCCTGCTGAGTTATCCGAGAGGACACAAATCATGTAGCCTGGCACACAACATCCAAGTTTCAAGGGACTGAGACTGCTCTCAGCAAACGGTATGGAATAAGAACTTGTCCAAAACATTTTGTTTAGAGCCTCCTTACCTGCGAGGTGGCACACTACCAGAAGCACCAAGAGAAGGGTTGTTGGATTTGCTGGGTGACACAGGTTGTGCAGACTGCGGTCCAGATGGTTGCTGAGGTGTGGAGATGGTTGGAGTCTAAATTAAATAGAATAGAATAGAATAAGGAGAGATGTGCCAAAATGAACAAAGTACTTACATGTTCTCAATATCACAACACCCTCTAAGGAGTTAAACTCAGCAGTTTATCGGCACAATCTCTAAGGCACAGTCTGATGGTCATTATCATCCAGAATGAAGCAGCCCTGCTTGATTTCCACCCCAACCACCATCTACAAGATGCACTGCAACAACTTGCCAAGGCTTGTTTGACAGCATCTTCAAATATCATGATCTTTATCAGCTATAAAAGAGTGAGGGCACTACACACGTGGATGCAACATGACTGCAAGCACTGCTCCAATTCAAACACGACGCTAATTTTGAACTGTACTGCTGTTCTTTCACTGTTATTGGGTCAGAAACCTGGAACTGTTAAAGTGTGGGTGTACCTATACCACATATTATGAGGCAGCAGTTTACCTTCATAAGGACAGTTAGGGATGTACAACTGTCAAAGAAAGTCAACTTTTCTGAAGTATTGGCAATTTGAACTCTACTAATCTGTTAATACTAATTAATTAGAGACTGAACAAGAGAGAAAACTAATTCTAGCTATCTCACAATCCATTTAAAAAAAACCACGGATAAGTCAGGTTTGAGATTAAAATTCAACTACTTATCAGTTTGCAATCATTTCTTCTACTACTTGATGGTTCTCAATATTAAACATTACAAAATTAGATGCAGACATTTCCACATAAACTGTTAACTGTCTGGGATAATTAAAAATCTCAAAGCTATTTCATTGCAGTAATCTTAGAACTGTTCCCATTCAATTAGCAGCATAAAAACACTTATTTTGTTAATTTAGAACATCCAGATAGTTCTGTGGAACAATACCGCTCGCTAGTCTCAGTAAAATGAAATCTTTATTTGGAGAAGAAAGGCCAATTCATTGTAAAGTACAATTTAAATAATGGCACAGAACAGGAACTTAAACCACAGCTCATCAGATAGAAAATTAGCCCTCTCTGTTTCTACAATTCGGAGGGCAAAGTCTTATTGTTATCATCTGCAGCGAGATCAGCCCTTGGTATTTTTCCACAGTTGAAGACTAAGGGTATTCTAATGATGTATGACACAACCTTAGTTGCTAGTAAAGTAGTGCCATCTGAAATATTCATTACCCACCTTCATTTATATATGCTGAAGCTGTGTGTAAAAATCATTCACATCGAGTTTGGCAGATCAGGCATGAATAAGAACAGTGCATTGTATGCCAAGTATTTTTTCTAAATGCACATTAACAAAGCTGCTTAGTTTCCACATAATGGAGTTCTATCACATTGTATAACACTTCATTGTTAAGAGTAGGCCACTCAGCATCTTCAGCCTGTTACTACAGAAAGTTGCATACACAGCCCAGACAATCATGGAAGCCAACGTCTCATCCACGGATTCCATTTACACTTCTTGTTGCCACAGAAAGGCTGCCAAAGACCCCTCCAACCACAGTATTACACTTCCAACCTCCTGCACCAGGCAGAAAATACAGAAGTTTGAACATACATACCAACAGTTCAAGAACAGCTTCTTCCCTTCTGTTATTAGACTACTGAATGAACCTCCAATTTCAAATCTAATGATGATCTTGCTTTTGAGCACCTCCTGTGCAGCTGTAACCTTGCATGCCTTGCTCTGTCTAAACACCCTATGATCTATATGTCATGATCTGCCTGTACTGGTCACGGAACAAAAAAAAAAACAAACTTTTCACTGTAATTAGGTACATGCAACAACACTAAAATCAAATTAAACCATTCAATAAGTTTTAAATAACATGCAGTAATTTAACATCTACCCGCATTAATTAAAAAGTCAATACATAAACTAGCTCCAAGCATGGTACATGAATTTCTCTCAGTTTTCGCAGAAATAGTGCAAATGATGAGGTGGATAAACCTGTGAAAAACGCGAAGAACTCTGGAGAAATTCAGCAGGTCTGGCAAATGTCCATTAAAAGAGAAAGAAAGAGTTAATGTCTCAAGACTGGTATGACTCTTCTTCAAAGGAGTGAGAAATCCTACTGGTCTTGAAACATGAACTCTGATCCTCTCCCACACAGATGCTGACAGATTTGTTGAGCTTCTCCAGATTTCAGATTTCCAACAGCTGCAGTATTTTGTTTTTACTGGAGAAACCTATGGTTCTGTAATAATCACCACCACAAACTCCATATTCTGAAAGGGTTGATTTATGTCCAGCTAACGTAACTGTCACCTCATTTAACATGAGCTAAACTAAAAACCAAGACATTTGCTTGTCGCAGAATTATTCATTTCAGAAGTCTAACTATTATGCAAAAGGTATATACTTGAGTCATTCCTGCTAAAAGAGCCATATATAGGATTACAGACATTCTAAACAGAAGCTGTATACAATTCTGCAACAAACAGCTCAGCTCAAAGCTCTGTGATCCTGACACGACCAATCATAAATGGTGGTAGATAATTAAGACAATTAACCAGAGGCAGAGACTCCACAAACATCGGCAGCATGGTGGCTCAGTGGTTAACACTGCTGCCTCAGCGCCAGGGACCTGGGTTCGATTCCGCCCTCCTGTGTGGAGTTTGCACATTCTCCCCGTGTCTGCGTGGGTTTCCTCCCACAGTCCAAAGATGTGCAGGTTAGGTGGATTGGCCATGCTAAATTGCCCGTATTGTTCAAGGATGTGTAGATTAGGTGGGTTATGGTGGTGGGTCTGGGTGGGATGCTTTGGGAGTTGGTGTGGACTTGTTGGGCCGAAGGGCCTGTTTCCACACTGTAGGGATTCTCTCTCCAGCTCTATGATGGAGCAGCACAGCAGGTTAGAGCTAAATACCAGGTTGAAGCATCTGCAATCATTTTCAGCCAGAACTGCTGAGTAGATAACAATCATAAAATGGTTATATGCCTACAAAGGTGACACTCAACTGATGACATTTCTGCCAACTCTGGTGGAACAATTCACCTAGTCCCTCCCCCCACCTTTTCCCCAGAGCTCTGCAAACGTTTATTGCTTCAGATAAATATCCAAATGTCTTTGGAAGGCCTCAACTGAATTCAAGCAAACCATTCCAGATGCACTGCACAAAAATGTTTTCCACGTCATCATTGCTTCTTTTGTAAATCACGTTAAATTGACAGCCTTCTTGACCCTTCTGCCAAAATGCAAACAGTTTCACCCAATCTAGGCCAGGCGTCTTGTGATTTTGACTATGTCTATATCACTATGTAATTTTCTCTTTTCCTAGGAGGACAGCAACAGCTTCTAAAACTTATCCACTCAACTGTAGTTCTGTATCCTTGGAATCATCCTCATTCATCTTTAATGCATCTCCTCGAACACCTTCCTTCCTAAAGTGTGGTGCCCTGAGACTGGATTCTTCTGGGAGAACCTAAAACTAGCAGTTACTGTTTAAAAATTAGGGATCATCCATTTAAACTAAAACTAAAACGTGAACTTTTTTTCTCTAAGAGGGCATGAGTCTTTGAAACAGTCTTCCTGAAAAGGCAATGGAAGCCAAGTGTTTGAATATTTTTTAGATAAGACTTTTGTTGAAAGATTTTTGTTTTGGTGAAAGATTATCAGGGTAGGCAGGAATATAAGTGTGAGGTTACAATCAGATCAGTCACGATCTTATTGAATGACAGAGCAGCTCAAGGAGTTGAATGGTCTAGTCCTGCTTCTAATTTATTGTCCATATGATACTGAAGAGTTTTATGTAGAAAAATCCCAAACCAATTACCGGTCAAACAGTCCACTGTCAGTCATCAGTAGTAGTGGAAGATGGCATTGACAAGTGCTATCAAGTGGCACTTAGCAATAATTTATTCATTGATGCGCTGTTTGGGTGCCACAAACAGGTAAGACAGCCAGAGATTCCATGGGTGAGGCAACTGTGCTTGACCTCATGGCAGCATCCGACTGTGTGGGGCAAAGAAGCCTTTCATAAAATCAAATACAATAAGCATCAGGTGAAAAACACTTTACTGGTTGCAGTCATATCTACCATAAAGGGAAGATGGTTATTGTTCTTGGAGCCAACCATCTCAGTCCTAGAATATTACTGCAGGATTTCCTCAAGGGAATGTTTAAGCTCAACAACCAAATTATCATCAATAATTTATCCATTATAAAATTAGAACTGGATGTTCAATGAGCGCTAAATGCTCAGCGCTATTTGCAACTCCATGAATCAGTCTGGTGTCTCTATGAGGCAAGACACAGTCAAAATTCAGGCTTGGGCTGGTAAGTGGCAAGTAATACGCTAGGTGGCAAGTAATACGCTAGGTAATGATTATGTCCAAAAGAAAACAAACCTGGACTAGCTCCCCTTAACAGTCAATGGTAATTATCATTGTTGAAACCTCTAATATCAACATTATGGTGGTTATGACTGGTTCAGTTCAGCTGCTGGTCAGTGATTAAAATACCACACCATTAAGAAACAAAACTAGATCAGGTGGAGAATTGTACTTTAGATAACTTACCTCTGTATTCCCCTAATACAACCCATCACCTACAAAAGCACAAGAATGTGATGGAATACTCTCCACCTGTCTAGGCGAGTGCAGCTCCAACATTACTCAGACCTCAAAACTCCCAAGGGCACCTTAATCAGTACTCTACCATATTAAGGAAGAGTCCTTTGACCATTGGTATACCTGGCAGTATCTATGAATTAAGATATACTGTACCAACTCACCTAAGGCTTCTTTGACAGTGTTGTCCTAACTGGAGAAATACATAGAGACGTATGACATTGCTACTTCTTGCAGCTCCTTCAAATCAAACACTACCCTGACCTGAAATGTATTGCCATGATGGCTCATCACTACCTTAACTGGGGACAGGCAATCAAATGCTGACTAATGACACCTATTTTCCCGTAACTGGGTTGAAAAAAATGGTTTTAGAGCCAGAGGAACTCCGTGAAGTAGAAGACCAATCTTTTCTCAAATAATATGGTAAGAACATGATGCAAGTTAATGAA